GTCCGGTAAAGAGCTGGATCTGAAGTGGTTTGTCATTTCAGACTGCACCCGCTTTTTCCTCACCGTTTTTCGCCCACGTGGGCGATCTCCAGCTTTTTTTTTTTTTTGAACGTTCACTTTATGGCGTTATAGCGCTATAACGCTGTAACGAAATAGCAGTATATCATTATCAATGCCATCGGAATACCTGGAGTGTTTTGTTATAGTGCTATAGCGCTATAAAGCAAACATTAAAAAAAAAAAAGCCGGAGATCGCCCACACGGGCAAAAAACGGTGGGGAAAAAGTGGTGCAGTCTTAAATGGCAAACCGCTTCAGATCCAGCTCTTTACTGGAAGGGGAAAGCCATGTGTGAAATGGCAGCCCTATACCGGTTTACTCCATGATGGATCAAAAGCAGCTTCAAAACGGGTTAAAAAGGGTAATGTGAAATTCCTCATAGAGTGATTAAAATGTGGAATTTGCCGCCAAAGGATATAGTGGTGGCCACAGGCATGGACTGCTTTAAAAGGGGATTAGATTCATGGAGGACAGGTCAGTCAGTAGCTACTAGCCATGGTGATGACTGAGGGGAACCTCCACATTCAGAAGCAGTCAGCCTCTGAATCCCAGCACCAGGAGGCAACATCAGGGGAAGCCCTCGGCCTCTCTGCCCTGTTGTTGGCCCTCCAGAGGAACTGGTTGGCCAATGTGTGAGACAAGATGCTGGACTAGATGGACTGAGTCTGATCAGCGGTCCCGTTTCACTCTGCCAGTAGCTCTCCAGGGTCTCTGGCAGAGAAGGGTCCTGTTACCTGAGATCCTTTATAAGTAAAGATGCCGGGGATTGAACCTGGGACCTTCTGAGTGTAAAAGCAGATGCTCTTCAGATTGCAGATTCACAAAAAGAACCTTTCTCTGCCTGAAATTCTGAAAGGTAGACAGTACTGAGGTAGACAGACCAGTGGCCTGATGGGAAAACTTTATACATTATGGCAGAGGATGTAGAGTCCAGTGGGGAGAGCCCCTGATTTAACATACAAAAGGTCCCAGTCCTCGGTGTTTCCAGTTATAAGACCATAAGCTGCAGATCCTAGAAACACAGAAAAGCTAGAAGGTACCCCAAGGGTCATCAAGTCTAACCTCCTGTAAAATGCAGGAAATTCAAAGCTACGTCCCCCTCACAACTCTCCCGGTGACCCCTGCTCTATGCCCAGAGGAAGGCAAAGAAACCTCCAGGATCCCCTGGGCCAATCTGGCCAGGAGGAAAATCCCTTCCTGACCCCAAAGTGGTGATCGGCACTACCCTGGACATATGAGAAAGGGCCAGCAGCACTTGGCTAACGTACTTGTTTCTGGCAGCCAGGTTGTCCAGGCAGGTCCGGATGTACTGATTGTAGTAATCCACCTGCTCCTCATAGAACATCCTCTTGGAGTGGAGGCCGTGAAGGGTCTGTTGCAGCTTCGCCAGCTCTGCCTTACGGTGCTGCCGGTATTGCCGCTGGTTGCGGATATCCTAAGGGATGACGGCAGGCACAATAAATACTACTGAGCTCAGATTTCTTTGTTTGGGGTTGTGTGTGTGTTTTTTTAAGCACTGCCCACCTGTGTAGGTATTGGTGAAGTATCAGAGCACCTGTACGTCAGCCCTGGCCCGAACTGACCCTCCCCAGCCTCAATACCTGAATCCTGAGGCTCATCAAACTTTGGAAAGGGTCATACCCACACTCCACAGAGCATCCTGGGATAGCCTCACCCCTCTGTGCCTTTCCCCTTCTAATGCTGCGGCCAAAGTCCAGCACCTGGCTGCCTACAACACTGGTGAGTATTATTAATCATGATAAGCCTTTATAGAGCAAGGCTGAATGTTCAAAGCTCTTGACACACCTTATCTGGTAATAATCACAACAGCTCTCTATGGTAGCGGACGACGACCTCGCTACTGCAGCCCATACCTAGATACCTGGTGGGAGTTGCATCCTATTAATGGTGACCTCTTGTGAGGTTTTCAAGGCAAGAGACGTTCAGAAGAAGAAGAGATTTGATTTATACCCTGCCCCAATCTCCTTTCCCTTCCTCTTCCCACAACAGACGCCCTGTGAGGTAGGTGGGGCTGAGAGAGCTCTTTCGAGGACTGCTCTTGAGAGAACAGCTCTGAGAGAACTTGTGACTGACCCAAGGTCACACCAGCAGCGGCATGTGGAGGAGTGGGGAATCAAACCCAGTTCTCCAAGATTAGAGTCCACGCTCTTAACCACTACACCAAACTGGCTCCCTTGCTAAGTGGTTTGCCACTGCCTGCCTCCACACAGCTAACTTTTTTTTTTTTTGTAATCAAGTCAAGCTGACTTCTGGCAGCCCCTGGTGGGGCTTGGAGGCAGGGGACGTTCAGAAGGGGGTTGCCATTGCCTGCCTTTGCGTCACGGCCCTAGTATTCCTTAGAGGTCCCCCATCCAACTACTAGCCAGGACCGGCCCTGCTTAGCTTCTAAGATCTGATGAGATCGGGTCAGGGCCTTGAACAGCAATCCTGGACTTCCTTGGTGGTCTCCCATCCAAATGCTAACCAGAACTGACCCTGCTTAGCTTCTGAGCTGTGAGCAAATTGGGCTAGCTGGTCCATCCAGGTCAGGGTATGGATAGCTGAGGCTATTCCAATGTCGTCAGATCTCAGAAGCTAAGCAGGACTGGCCCTGGTTAGTACTTAGGTGAGAGACCACCAAGGATGTCCAGGTTCACTACGCAGAGGCAGGCAATGTGGTCATCTCTTGGCTTGAATGTGGTTTGACAGCACTTGACACACCCACACACACACACTGCAGGGCAGAGGCAGGGAAGCCCCCCCCCCGGGGGGGGGGCAGCTTGCGCCCCCATTCCTGTCCTCCCAACAAACCAGAGCAGGAGCTTTGGTTGAAAGCAGCCCAGATTTCACCCAGTAGGCTTCATTAAGGCTGTGAGGATTTGAACCTGGGTCTCCCATGTTCTAGCCCAACAACTCTAACCTCTATACCACACTGACTTCCCAGTGGTCTGGCTAAGTATAAGAGTTTCCCTAGGTTCCGTCAGCCACGTGGAACTGCAAAACCAGCTCAGTGAAGGCCGAAAAGCCATCGGCCGGGTCCCCTGCCTGAGAGCCAGTTTGGTGTAGTGGTTAAGTGAGCGGACTCTAATCTGGGAGAACCGGGTTTGATTCCCCAACTCCTCCACTTGCACCTGCTGGATGACCCTGGGCAAGCCGTAGCTCTGATAAGAGCTGTCCTTGAAAAAGAGCAGTTTCTGTCAGAGCTCTCTCAGCCCCGCCTACCTCACAGGGTGTCAGTTGTGGGGAGGGGAAGGGAAAGGAGATTGTAAGCCGCTCTGAGACACCTTTGGGTAGTGAAGGGCGGGGTATAAATCCAATCTCTTCTTCTTCTTCTCCCTCATCCTGCCATTGAGACCTCTTCTTCCGAAGAGGCTGCGGGGGATGCTCCACCCGGCATACCTTGGCCATCTCGCTGATGATCTCTTGATACTGGTTGGCGGAATCGACCACCCCCAGACTTTCGAGGCGCCGCAGATTCTTGACGACTTTCCTCTTCTTCTCCTCAATCGAGAGGAGACTGTTGCCGGCCAAGGAGCGGTTGCGCCTCAGTTTGTCTGGGGCCTGAGCGTCGCACAAGGCCCTCCTCTTCATGAGATGGTGGTGGAGGACTTCCTGGAGAGGAAGAAATGCCCCGTTTCACAAGTTATCACAGGAACGGTATTTAGAGAAAATCCGGTCAAACCGCCAAGGTCTGGCGACACGCAAACAGGCTGCGATACTGAACACAGCTGCTTTGAAAAGCCACCTGGAGCAGAGAGCTCATCAGGCATGATGGTTAAAAAACCCTAAAATCTATTTACACTTACATTAAGGGTTTTTTTTTAAACCCTAAAACACACTTGTTTCTGCACACACAACAGTTTTGGGTGCAATTACATCCGCATAATATTGTGACTTGGCGATAAAGCAACATCAGTGGATAGCCTTTCTTGCACATTACGTTTCATTTAATGAGAGTGAAAACAATTTCCAAAGACTGAAAAAGGATCAGGAGAATTCAGATGGCTTGGTACAAATGAAAAAGAATCTATATTGAGACTGCAGACAGTTTGGGCACCAGGGATATCAGAAGTCTGGACATGTAGCAGGAAAAAAAAGAAAGGGGAGGGGGAGAACTTTCTCTTATTCCAGGTAACAACCAGAATTTGGGTCAGGATGTTATGCAGAATCTTGTTTTGTGCTTGGACTTTGGGTTCAAATCCAGAAGAAACTACTTGCTGAGTTAGTGTGAGCTAGCTCACAGTTTTTTAGCCTCCGGCTCACAGTTCCGTCTGAGCTCAGGAAGGGTGGCTCCAGAGCTAACTAATTCATGCAGTAGCCAAATCGCTCACTCACGACTTTAATGCCAGTATCTCACAAAGCAGAATTTTTGCTCACAAGACACCAGTTTAGAGGGAGCATTGTTTGCAAGCTCTGAGAATGGAATCTTGAAGGTCTCTGGTTCAAATCTTGCCTTTGCCATGGACTCGCTGAACAGACTTTGGCAAGCTGCCCTTTCGCAGCTGCAAGCCTCTGCAGGATAGTAATATTGGCCTACATTAAAAGGCTGCTGCCAAGATTAATCCAGATAATGTCTGCAGAATATATAAACTATAAGTATTACTACTGGAAGAAATCATAATTTGACCTGTTTTGCAATGTCCTATATCTCTATTACCTATTAGGCTAAACCTTCCAGTTTTGGCAGTACGAGGGAGGGGGAAGTTGGTGCTGAATTTCCTCACCTGATCCTCTGATGCCTTGGTCTGTAATATCTCCATAAGGGAATCTCCAGGCTGAGATTGGATCACGTCCACCAGCATCTGTTTGGTGCTTTGAGAATAAAAGCAGATGGCAGATCAGTTTCACCCGCACCCGGAGGGGCCCAAAGTAGCCCAATCTCGTCAGATCTCAGAAGCTAAGCAGGGTTGGCCCTGGTTAATGCTTAGATGGGAGACCAGCAAGGAAGTCCAGGGTCACTAGGCAGAGGCAGGCGGTGGCAAACCACCTCTAAACGTCTCTTGCCTTGAAAACCCCACCGGGTTGCCAGAAGTCAGCTGTGACCTGACAGCACTTCCTTTTTTTTTTTTAAAAAACACACAGTTCGTTTGGTGTAGTGGTTAAGTGTTTGTGGGGAGGGGAAGGGAAAGGAGTTTGTAAGCCGCTCTGAGACACCTTTGGGTAGTGAAGGGCGGGGTATAAATCCAATCTCTTCTTCTTCTTCTTCTTTATTGAAATTTTCCAAATAAAATCCACATATACAGCTATATCCTCGCTTAAAAACAGATGAGCATACAGCCTCTCTGAGTATAAAGTAATCCAGCAATTTACTATTTGTTTTACAAAGTTAGAAGCATACAACCTCTTCCATTTTAAATACAATAAACAAAAACTAGTATATACAGTCAATTAAACGTACTCTAACCCTTCATTTTTCGTGTCCAGTTGTACAGTTTTTCCTATTTTTTCTCGTAAAGCGAATCATCTTTCCCCTGCAATGTACATGATATTTTGTCCATTTCGGCTACTTCCCATATCTTCTGTATAACTTCACTTTTTTCTGGAATTTTCCCTTCTGACAGCACTTCCCACCACCAGCTTAGTTTCACTGGAGGGGAAGCAAAGAAAGGAGGTTTTCACTTCCCTCATGTGACCATCCCAACGGCTTAGCCTGGAGAGGAGACGGCTGAGAAGTGATAAGATAACCATCTTCAAGTACTTGGTGCGTCCTACAGAGGATGGTGTGGAGTTGTTTTCTGTTGCCCCAGAAGGACCAGAACCAACGGGTTGAAATTAAATCAAAGGAGTTTTCAGCGAAACATGAGGAAGAACTTCCTGACACGGTGGGCTCTCCTCCTCCTTCGGAGGTGTTCAAGCAGAGGCTAGATGGCCGTCTGACAGCCATGCGGATTCTGTGAACTTCGGCAGATCGGGAGAGGGAGGGCAGGGAGGGTGGCACCAGTGCGTGGTTCTTTCTTAAACGCCCAGGGAAATGCTGATCGCCACTTTGGGTCCAGGAAGCAACTGTTCTCCAGGTCAATTTTGGCCCCCAGGGAACCTGGAGGTTGGTTTTTTTTGGCCCTCTTCTGGGCATAGAGCAGCAGGCCTGTAGCCAGGATTTTTTTTAATTCGGGGGGGCCTTTAAATAAGTTGGGGGAACCCTGCACACACCCCAAGAGAGCACCCCAAATAAAATAAAACACTGGAAGTCGTGGGGCCTGGGCTGGATGGGGAGTCGGGCCCCGCGATGACCCACTGTAGCGACGGACCTGTAGAGCAGGGGTCACTGGATGTGTGTGTGGAGGGGGAGGTATTTGTGAGTTTCCTGCGCTGTGCAGGGGGTTGGACTAGATGACCCTGGAGATCCCTTCCAACTCTATGATTCAATGGGTTTTTTTTTTATTGCCGTGGGTACCAGAGCATAGTAACCTGCTTGGAGCTGGGATATGTTGCTACAACTCCCCCCACCATGCAGAAAAGCTCCGATTCAACCCTCAGCCTCTTCCGTCCGTAGGATCTCAAGCAGCAGGCCTGGGAAACTCTCTGGAGGGCTGCTGACGTCAGAGTAGGCAGAGGTAGATGGGCCATGGGTCTGACTCACACAAGGCAGTTTCATGCATACCCAATATGAAGCCATACTGAGGAAAGGAGTCTTGGAGGACAGAGTATGTATTTGATGGTTAATCTAGGAGCTCTCTGTTCATAAGATGTTCACTGTAACCACCCTTTTGAACCCTGTGGAACTTTTTTCCCTCAGAGACAGAGAGGGGGAGAGAGGGAGGGAGGGAGAGGGGGGAGAGGGGGGAGAGAGGGGGGGGGAGAGAGGGAGAGAGGGGGGGA